TAGGCCCTCTGCATATGGGAGACAGGAATGAGTGTCCTAATGCAGCCCAGGCTTTTATTGGGGAGTGGTGATGCAGAGATGCTTGTGTAAGAATGGGAATTCATTGTCCACACATTATAAGCTGTCATGGCCATAGTGCAGAAAGGTAAGGGTGGAAGGAGCCTTAAAAATTTCCAGTTTTGTCAGCAGTTGGGATTGCCAATGGGCAATCAGTTAATCAATTATAGGTGATATATAAATGTCCTGAGTGGCCATTTCTTGGACTCCCCAGACCACATTCCTTGGCCAGGAGATGGACCTGTCCCCATTCTAATGTTAGGTCTGCACCCAGGACAGAGATTCTATTCTCTTGACTAAGGGCCTTTTAACAGGCCTTCATTACTACTTTTAACTTTCCTCCTTCCTAAGGCCCCTAGAATCACTCAACATCCGAGATCAGAGCTCCCAAAACACTTTTGGCATTTCTGGTCTCTGGCAAGGATGAAACTGCTAAGAGTCCCAGTGACACTTCTAGCTTTTAGTCAAGAAAGCAACAAGTTACTTTTCTGGTTTTTTTTTTTAACCCTAAATTGTCTAGTTGATTTCTACCTCAAGTTCTTATCCCACCTCCCTCTGAAGAGGTAACCCTAACTGCCTTTGTGGGATTGGAGCAATGACTGATCTGGTTTTTTCCAGTTGAATTTGGGGTATCAGGTGGCAATATTGGGATATCCTTCCAGAGGGCCTCCTGTAAAGACTAAACTCTCAAATATAGCCTGGAAAGGAATTCCTTTACTGGTGTCTAGGCAGAACTAAAATATGCAAAGTCCATAAGACATTCTTGATTGGCTCACAATGTCCCCCATTAGATGTTTCCTTTTAACTTCTACAGTTGGTCCCCAGAGTGGTGAACCCACAACCAGCTTTCACATCCTTTTCATCAGCCAAAAGGCATCATGAAGCCCTTCCCATGTGGCTTCTGGACAGGGAAAGAAGTGGTATTTGGCATCATTTAATCTGGGGTTAAAATAATCATGGGCCTGTCTTCCTTGGCTGTGGGCAGGTGCTCAGGGAGCCAAGGTCTAATATCTCACATCTGGGCAACATCTTTTTATCAAGAAGAAAATATTAGTGAGATTGGTTGTCTAAATAACATCTCATGTAGACTTAACATCTAATGTCTGTGGAATGTGATCCCTTTTAGTCTTTGGTTAAACTTTCCTCCTGAGTGCTAAAGACCATGCAGGTTACCAAAATTAATCTTTTTTTGTGTTTTCAAGTCCAGTTGAGCAACTAGTTCTCAGGGGTCACTTGGGCTTGAAAGGAACCTCAGACTCTTCTAGTCTTTCTTTTTACAAGTTTTCCATCAATGTGAGGATAAGACAAAGGCTTTGCTTTATCTACTGTGGCTTCCTTTGAAGGCTTGAAGAAATTTTTCCTATATTGATATGCCTTGTGTTGACTCAATAATGTTTCAAAGACAGCAAGTGATCAATAGCCTTTGTTCCCAGGGACCTCATTGACCTTGTATGGAAAGGGGGAGAAATAGTCTCCCTTTTAGTCCCTTTCAACACATTAGAATAGCCTCCAAGAATGATTACTAAACACCCAGAAGATCGGTTTTACACTGGTTTGGTACTTTTAACTACTGTCAACTATTTCAATAGCCAGACATAATTCAATAAACTTTGTTTTATATACATTTTAGGCTGTTCTTGAAATAGTTGATATCTGACCTTGCCAACTTTAATAAATATATGATCTCTAAATCCAATCCTTTATGTACCTTAAACAACTTACTCAGACCTTCATAACTTATAAAAGTTTTCTAGTCTTCTTTATCTGTAGTCATCCAGTCATCATCATCTTCATATATCTAAGTCCTTCTTTACTAAGTCATTTCCACATTTATATTCTTCTAACCTATTCTTTTATGTACTGTTTCCTTTTCTAATACCATGAGACATAAGAACATTAACAAATATGTTTATGATCTGTTAGAATTTTCTCCCCCATGGAGGGGGAGGAAGCAATGTCTATCCCATTCCAAGTGATGATGCAAAGTACAATTTTACCAAAGTCCTGGGGAAACAATTAGTTTACAGAGCTTACTTACTGAGCATGGTTGAGAATATATTTACAAGGGTGTAGCTGTGTGTTCGCTACACGAGTGTGTGGGTTCACGCGGATCCGTGGAATGAAGACACAGAGGCATCTTAAGAATGAATCTAGCCTTTCATGGCTGTAGGAGAGTCCAGCCTTGAAGGACTGAAGCACTCTTCCCTTCACCTAGGGCATATTTATTTACTCTTTTTTACAGTTTAGACAGTTAATTTCCATACCTTCAAAGCAACCCAAAAGAAGTTCCCAGAGACCAAATGCCAGGTGCAAATTACTTGATTTCTCAGGTACCTCGGTTTTCTGGGTTTCCTGGACCAAGTTTTGTATAGGCCTTTGATCCTTGGAGGACTCTCTGATGACAAGATTCACGTAGGGTGATAAGAAAAACAAAAAGTAAGAGAAACAAAAGGTGTGGCTTAACAAAGGAAGGATTAGGTCTAGGTGCTGCTCTCTGGAGCCAAGCCAGGAGCTCAACAGAAATGCCACTACACAAGGGTTTTGATACTGTGGTGGTTTTAGTCAAAATGGCCCTCAAAATCCCATAGGGGGTGGCACCAAAGGAGGTGCGGCCTTGTTGGAGTAGGTGTAGCCTTGTTGAAGGAAATGTGTCACACTCACTTTGTGCTGCCTGCTGATCTGGATGTAGAACTCTCAGCTCTTTCTCCAGCAACATATCTGCCTGCACGCCACCATGCTTCCTGCCATGACAATAATGGACTAAACCCTCTAAAACTGTAAGTCAGCCCCAATGAAATGTTTTCCTTTATAAGTGTTACTGAAGTCATGGTGTCTCTTCACAGCAATACAAACTCTAAGAAACCCCAAAGCAACTACACAGAAATGTCTCCACCTAGTATGTACAATGGCTCTCCCATAGCTGCAGGTGTGCTTACCCTCTCTCTACTCTTCCACTGCACATACACTCTCCATTACATTACATTTCTTAGTGGACTTAGGAAGTAAGCAGTTGTGGGAATATGATCCCTTCAGCCAATGGCGTTAGGGTAATGAGTCCTATGGGCATTGTTTTCTCTGTGTATGTGACCACATAAGAAGTGAGGAGAGGGTTGCTTGCTCTCTTGGATTTGGAAGGTGTCCTGACTCCATGGTTTGGTGACCTAGTATGGAGCTTTCTTCATTCTTCCATGGCAGATGAAGAGCCAGTTATTCAACCTGTAATCCTACATTCTGTATTCGTGAGTGTGCTACTCCTGTTTAACCCTCTAATAAACTCTTGAACAGTCTTTTGTGGGTTCTCACTTCAGTAAGCCTGATAGCACTCAAGGCAATTTTCCACTTTTAACAATGACTTTCTCATAGATGCATACACAGAATCCACTTCCTCTCAAGTTTTTCCCAGGCTATGTCCTCTAGCTCCTCCCCCAAACCACAAGGTCACATGTCATTAGGGCTAAATCCCATATAGTACCTGGAAAAGAGGCTGTATACCCAGAATAAGGGGATACCTCCTTCCATGATGGAATATCAAAAGTCAGCAAACCTGGTGGTGGGCATCCTTTGTAAGCAGGCACAGCTGATCCTAGGAAGGTGCTAGTTGTTTGTCTTAAGACAGTGCCGAGCAACAACAACTAAAAAAAGAATGCTGAATACAAACTGTGTTTAAGACAATGTAATAAATTAATATTTCCTAGGTACAATCTGTTAAACTAAACCTTAGAGAAAACACACGACACTCTTCATATAATATATGGCATCACTGCTATAACCATGCTTATGGATTTTAATTCCAGTATATAGTCAATACTAAGAAACAGCAAAAACTAAACAAAACATCATGGAATTGATGTTACAGCATCCAGTATAACACAACTAAGAAATCTTTCTTAAAACTACGATGCCCCAGCTTACTATAGAGAGATCTTTACACAGAGTGTCTCTCTATCCTCCATGGATAAGCATTGCACTCACTGTTTTTAACTACAGACATGTGACCAATAACAGTATACATAAAAGGTGTGAAGACTCATTTACATCCTAGCATCCAAATCTCTAACAGCCCTGGTTAACATACTACTTATCTTTGGGGTATTTCAGAGGCAGCCCTCCCTTAGCTAAATTCTACTTTGTGTGAATTACTATCTCCTAAGCATTGGTCAATCCTTTTTATCACCCGTTGTACTCTTCTATATCACAGCTTAGTAGTGGAGTGCTACCCAGTACATGACACACATTTACAACCTCCACAAATTAACTACAAATGGATCTTACACATACATGTCAAAAGCAAGATGCATAACTTCTAGAAGATATTTGAAACTAGGTCTCTACGAGTTTGACAATCTGCCTAGGCTTTGAGCGGTTTCTCTAAGGCCCTGCTGTACAGAGCAAAAACAGAGCTCCATCTCTGATATGGGAATATGCTTGGGAGAGTTGGTAGTGGTCTGGGGCCAGGGTCTTTGGAAAGGTATTGCTTCAGATTCTGAGAACCCAACACTTTCCACACAAGAGGCTGTGGTTATCAGTCTCCATGTATCCACTGTAGATTTTGTTTATAATGTTTTTGAGTTACTCTGAGTGCCTCTGGTGCAACATTGTCTGACTAGCCTCCTTTTGAATTTGTGTACTTCCTTTTAAAACTGGACCCACTGATTCACATTAACAAGAGACTTGCTGTTGAATTTGGCACAAATCTCCAGTCAGTCTGGAATAGGTCTGTCCTTAGATTGGATGCCAAGGCTGGGAACCGCTGTGCTGTGTCCCTTCTGCTCACCTGGTCCTGTCACTCAGGCCTCACTAGCCAATCAGAGCTTCCAGCGGACCTGCCAGTCAGATGGGAGGGTTCTTCCGGGAGCCAGGCTTACAGGCTCAGCTCTTGTGAGGAAGTCGGAAGTTGCGGTTTGCGCTGCACCTTGGGCTCGATTGTGTGGAGAGCTGGGTCAGCTCGGTAGCCCCACCATGGTGAGCGAGTGGTTGCTCTCCACAGATAGGGAAGAATGGTGGGCCAAGACGAGCGAGGGGCTGCTGTCCCCAGGAAAAGAGGATTGGCCGGCCATGGTGAGTGAGGGGCCGCTGCCCCCAAGCGGGGAGGAGTGGCTGGTCTTGGTGAGGCGAGGGACCGCTGCCCCCTGGCGGGGAGGAGTGGCTGGTCGTGGTGAGTGAGGGGCCGCTGTCCTTAGACTAGGTGGAGCGGCCTGCTGAGGCACGGGAGTCGTTTTGGTGCGTCCTCCCCTGCCTGGGTGGGAGCCAATGGCCAGACACAGAGTTCCGCGTGGCGTGTTCCTGCCCGGTCCTGCCTGGTCCTTACTGGTCCTAAGTGGTCCTAAGTGGTCCTTGCAACTCCCTGGGCCAGGCTGGCAGCCTCTGAATAACTTCACTCCTTGGGCCGTGTCTGTGCAGAGCATTGGGAGTGGAACTGAGCTTAGAAATATCCTTGTTTGCAGGAGGCTGTGGGAATATACAGCAGGTGACAGCGCGCGTTTTACAGGTGGACCCACCAGATGTATAACTCTTTGTTGGGGAGTCCCACTAGGGAAAGTCCATGATGGAGCCCCACTAAATAAAATTCACGGGGTGTCCCCATTAGGTAAAGCAGTGGGGTCACTGGCTGTAACTGACTGGTTGTTTTCTGTCTGTAACTTCCTCATGTGCCACCACCTTACCTCCCTAATAAGAACAGCTGTGGAGGGTTTTTGCGCAGCCCTTTGGTAGTGTGTTTTACGTCTTTGGGCACACTTACAGTTGTGGATGGTCGGGAAGTTGATTTCTGTTTAAGCTGTATAATTCTGATGTATAGAAGTAATACCAGAATATTCCTCTTTACTGACACAGGAAAGTAACAATATTTTCATTCTCAAAGACGGCTAATTTTAGACTTGAGAACAGATTCAATCAGACTAAACTGCCCCTGTAGAAAATACACAAAGACTAATTCCCAGGTGTTGTTTATTGCTAAATCAAGGCTAGGCTGTTTACATTGAGACATAGTTCTTTGCAGTCCTTCTCTTTCTGCTCTACCTCCTACTGTTACTGTTTAGTCCTGAATTTCAATGTCGTTCTCCGTCTGGGAAAAAGTTAAGTGCAAGGCCAAGTGTATACTCTCATTGGCCGGTCTTTGTGTCCCTACTAGCCTGAGAAAAACTGTGTGACTTCATGTGTTATGAGAATAGGTTGGGCCCTGAAAAATGTAACAAATAATTGTCCAGAGTTTGGCTAAGGAAGGAACAGCATCATTGTAGGGATGAAGCTGTGCAGAATGTGAGTAAAGTGTATGTATGCTGAGTGAGAGATGAAGAAGCCTAGAGAGGATGAGAGAATGAATTAATGAGAGAGTGAGTGAGCTAAGAGTGAGTGAATGATATAGAAGAAGCATGTGTGTGTGTGTGAGTGAGTGTGTGAAAGAGTTGCCGCTACATATAGAAACTGTGTAAAGAGCTGTATGAGAGTGTGTAGGAGTGGTGTAAGGTATTACATGGTGAGAGAGCTATGTATATGAGATGTATAGCTATGGCTGTGTGGAGAATTATAACTGTGTGGAGGCAAGGAAGAAGACACTACATAAAAAAGAAAAGTAGAAGAGTAATGTATGTAAAAGAAAGATGTGCAGACATGTGAAAATAGATGTAACTGTGTATAGAAGTGTATGGCCATAAGAAAGATATGTAGCTGTATGTACAGAGTGTAGCAATGTGGAGATTTGTAACTGTGTGGAGACAGAAAGAGTCAGAGACCATTTTTAAGATGAAGTAAAAGAGAAAGCATGTATGCTTCCTTATTTTACCAGTCAGTTAGACAGAGACTTATTCTTAATTGCCCTCAGATAAAAAAGTTTCTTATCCCTAGCTACTCTGAGGCATTTCTATTTTACTACCTTAGAGCAGTTTGGCAAGTTCCTACCTGGTCCTGCCTGGTCCATCACGGTCCTGTTTAGTCCTCGCATCTCCCTGGGCCAGGCTGGCAGCCTCTGAATAACTTCTCTCCCTGGGCTGTGTTTGTGCAGAGCATTGGGAGTGGAACTGTGCTTAGAAATATCCTTGTTGTTAACATCACTGTGAAATGCTGGTGCCTATAGTGCTTATATTGTCACATGTGGAGAGAGAGACATCACCAGATTTGCCAAACTCAGAGAGCACTGGCCTCTCTAGTATCTTCCAGAAGTTCTGTACTTTTAACATTTAACATTTAGGTTTAGGATCCATCTGGAATTAACTATGTGGAGCTTGTAAACACTATCTCCTGTGTAGAGTAGCATTCCACTGCTAAACTGTGATGTAGAAAAGTAGAATTGATGGTATAAGGATTTACCAGTTCTTAGGAGACATTAAGTCACACAAAGTAGAATTTAGCTGAGGGAGGGCTGCATCCCAAATACCCCAAAGATAAGTAGTATGCTAATCATGCCTGTTGTTAGAAATTAGTATGGTAAGATGTAAATGTTTGTTCACCAGGATTAATCAGCTGTTAAGCTACATTCCCATAACAAATGAGACAAGCCAGATTTACAAGCTACCTAAAGGCCCACCTACCTTCAAAGGCCTCCAACATGCTGCTTAAGGAGCCGTTACAGGGTCACAACCAACATCAAGTCCTGGTGTGCTATGAAGGTATTATAATTCTTGAACAGCTGCATCTCCAGCCTTTTTGAAAAGCAGTTTTGAGTTAAGGTCTCCCATATTGATTGAGGTGTACTTGAACCTTTTCTGCTGCCCACAGGGCATTGCCCTTGCTAGCCTCCTGACTAACCACCCTAAATTCTTGGATTATAGGTCTGCAGCACATCAGAGTTCTAAACTTGCCAGTTTGAGTCACATAGTAGGCTGTCCATTGCAGAACAGGGAAAGGATTTGTGTGTGGAGCATGGCTTCTCCCTTCAGAACAGAAGAGGAGGAGCAGTGTACTGTGTACAGTGCAGGGGGAAACAGACTAGACAATAGCTAGATCCCAGACTGAAGTTGAAGGCAGTGAGCTGCAGGCCTCTCCATTACAAAGAAGGACCTGATGGGACAGGGTGAGTGATTTTCTGTGTAATTTCCCATCATGCATTAATTCCTTCCATGTGAAGGAAGACAAACAGAATTGGTGGATGCACAGTTTAGGGAGGATAGCTTGAGCTACTAAGTATTCAGTTTCCAATTAGCAAAATCTCCCATGCAGGTATGTGCAATCTGGATTGATTCAGTTAAGTCAGCTCAGTGGTTTGAGAGACAGGCTGTTGGCTGTAACTCCATGTGTCAGCTAACAGCCCTTAGTGGCTATGGGACAAAGTCATACAGTGTCTTTTTAAGGACATTCTCTCTACCAGGGAAGTGCCTGCTCTGTTTCAAAGTCAGTATAGCTAAATGTTCTTCCTGCATGTCCATTCGATACATCATTTTGTCAAGCAGTCTGGGCAAGAACAGTTTCTTGCCCACATGGCTATTTTTGGCAAGAAGAAGATTAACTCCATATAGAGTGTCTTCGATGCCCATCCTCCTCTCTGAAGTAAATTGGTGCTGCCAGGAGCAGTCATTTCTCACTGTCCAGAAAGTCTAAATTTTTAAAACATTTTAACTGCCATATTTTGTAGGTCTTTGAAGTGTTTGAAGATTACCTATCTAATTGAATTATATCTATGTATAATACCTCAAATGAGAGTAGAAATATGTATACAGTATAACAAAATTAAGTTTACACTTGTATCAATAATCTAAAATCCATAGCAATGTAAAACATTTCTAAACAAGTTGTTACTCTTTAAAGTAGGTTCATTAATCTACCCTTTCATACTATCATATTTCTACTATCCCCTTCTTTAGAAAGAGATTGCATTTATAATCAACCTGCTTTAAATAAAAATATTGGTTTTCCTCTGTCCTACACCAGAGGGCTCTTCTGATATGGGACAGGACAGAAGAATCTCTCAACCTTTTCTTTGGCAATATGCTTGGGTTTAGAGAAGGAGTGAGCCAATTCCATCTTCAAAGCCAGCTTGGTATATTTGGGAATTTGGGCGTAGCTTCTCATACTACTTCCTGCTGGATGAGTGCTCTGTATTCTTATGAGGACACAAAGAAAATTTTAGGATTATGGAGTAGTCCATGAGGCTGTATTCTCTGAGCCAGTTGCCTTGAAACCATTCTGGATGTTGGGATCATCTGGGCCATGGTGTCATCGGAGACCTTTCAGGGGGTCTTGGCTGGTCAAACCTGATGTATCTTAATCTGGAACAAATCCATAGCCTCTTGTTTCCTGTGGAAACAAAAACAGAGCCTCCTTTCCAAAGCAACATATCCTTAGATCCAAACTTTCAAGTCAAAATACCTCTAAAATATATATATTGGTTTAACTTAGCAGCCTTCACAATCAAATGTCTTTCTGCAGTTAAAAATATCAGAGAATATAATCCAGACTTTCTATGTGATTTCCATCTTTATGTGGCTTATTTTTTTAATATTACTTTTACTTTCTCTTTAAAGACTTTATTTTTTAAAACTCTATTTCTTTATATAACTGTATATATTCCTTTTTCTTTCTCTTCCAAGCCTATGTACATTTTTACACACATTGTAAACTGTTCCATCTGAATCTGTCTTATTGTGAACCTATTGCTTTAAACTGCAGTGGCTAGTACTGAAGCAGAAGCCTTGGCTGCTGGCTGTGCCCAACTGTTTCCCAACATGGCGGAACTAAGTTTACCGCCAGCTCTGGGTGGGTCCATTCCTCCATCCAGCAGCATGTAGCGCAAAAACCTCCTTTTTTTTTTTTTTTTTTTTTTTTAACTAGTAAAGGCTAAATCCACCAGGCACCAAACTGTGCATCTTGGAGATGCCTCTGTGTACTGTGGCAGGAATCTGCAGCCATGCTGTAGGTCAAACCCATGTGCCACGTACCCACCATATTGTAGTTCAAGACTGCATGTTGCAGTGTCTCACTGCCCACATGAGACATGAAGCAGGAACCAGTTTTTGGCTCCATTTAGAATTGCTTATTAAGTATTCTCAGTTTTTAGTTGGAAACTCGAGCCATTGGGTGCCATTTGTAGCTGAAGTTTTCCTGGTCCTGCCCAGCTCCCATGGCCC